ACTCGTCCGTGTCGTCGTTGGTCAAGAGCACCATCCTTCGGCACTTCGCAGCCACTCACCAGTACAACTTCACCAGCCGTACAATCAACAGGTGAGGCGGGGCATCACTCCGTGTGGGCATTGTCATGACACTCGAGTGCACGTTGTGTGTGTGTGTCAGGCATGTTGACAACGACCGGCTGGACACCCTGCTTACACAGTCCCCCCACACACCAGTGGAGGGATGCACCACAACGACATCATTCAGCATTGGCGGCGAACCCTTTCGTCATCTCGTCCTGACCAATGCCGGCCACCCGTTCGTCGCATGGATCGCCATCAGGGATGCCCAGTACCCCGACAACACCGGTCAGCCCAGCACGGCACAGCCCATGCGCACAGACACAAAGCGCTCACTCTCATCTGCTGTGCTCTATCCTGTCATTCCTTCGCAGTGCTACTGTGGGTCGAGACGACCGAGTCCGCTGTGTCTGGTAGGGGTGGTGCCTTCAGGGACCGCTTCCCAGTGACCACCCGGCTGGCGCGGGCGGTGCTGGGGCCCATCATCTCACAGAGGACCTTCGACCGATAAACAGCTGAGGTATGTTTGTATCAAACACGGCTGACACGAGAAGCAGATCCCACACCACATACGCAATGGTGTCTCTCTGTGCGGTTCCAGCTGTGTGTCAGGTTGAGTGGTGGTGGTCATGGCGGCGCACAACATGCAGCTGCAGAGCACACGTGCTGTGATGGGTATGTGTGTGTGCCCTACCGGTCGGTGTCTCCGGTTGAGAGCATATCGGGCTGCAAACTGGTGACGGCTTGAATGACAGCTTCGTTTTTCGCGAGTGACCAGTCTTTCCTCTGCGTGTGTGATGGCTGACGATTGCCGTGGGTTGACGTGCATTGTAGACACATGTGCTGCCCACAGACAGAGAGACCGCTCGTTGTCCACGGGTTCGATGGTACACATACACACTGTGTGTATGTGTCGTCATGCATTCACCACACCGGGCTGCGCGGATACATGTAATGGGCCCGGATCGATGTGTGCACGCGTGTGTACATGGGTGCGGCTCCCTCTCCGTATTCATGTGGGCCTTCAACATGTGTGTGTGTGTATACATGCGGACATTTAATATGCAGCGAACCATCTCATTCAATATGCTGTCGGTTATCAGTATGTTTGTCAGTCAGTCAGTCAGTGCGTCTCGTCTGTTGGTCAACCGTCTCGAGTCTGTCTGTCTGTCTGTGTCATCGAGTCCACTCACTCCACCTCATCCAACAGCCGCTCGATCAATTCAGTGGCCTGCTGCCACCACACACACAGAGCACACAGCCCACACGATGGATCAACGACAATGAGTAGGAATGTCGTCCATTTTGCTCTTTGTTTGTTTGGCTGACCTCCGTGTAGCATTTCGTCCTTCTTGGCCACACGCTGCACGAACTCCGTCAGCACGTCAACCTTGACTGAACCCACACACACACACATTGCCTGTGTGTTGTGTGGATGGTTGGTTGCGATGCACTGCATGCCTTGTTCCACTGATGTGACCGCGGCCATGAGGTCTGTCAGCTCACTCGCCGTCACCGGCGGACGCAACTCACTCAGCCCCTTCACCAAGCCAACACACACATCCATCCATCCATGTGTGTGTGTGTGTGCCACATACCTTGGCGAGTTCGTCGATTGAGATTTCGCCCGAACGGTCGGCGTCGATGGAGTCGAAGAAGACGCGCAGCGCACCTTTCTCGCGCTCGGCTCTGGTCGACGGATCTTTACATTTGACACACACAGACAGACAGAGAGAGAGAGAGACATCCACACGTGTGTGTGTGGCGTCAGTGTGTGTGTCTTTGTCAGTGTTGTGCCTTCATAGTCGAAGAAGGCCATGACGAAGACCGTCTGAAACTCCTGGTTAGTGACCGGACAACGGATGAGGTCGATGTGTGTGTGTGGTTTGGCTCACTCTCAGTTCCAGTTTGCCCGATCGGTCGTCGTCGACCGTCTCGAACAGCACACGAGCATAGTACCTGCACACACACACACAGAGTTAGACCTGCTTGTGTGTTGGTTGATCACTGACTTGGCGTCTGGCGATGTCTTTGCGAGGCCGAACGACCGCACCGTCTCGTAGAAGCCCTCCAGGTCGACGCCACCACTCTCTGCACACACACACACACACAAAGGGGCCATCCACTCATCTATGTGTGTCGGCTGGCTGACCGTCTCGAGTGTCGCTGAGTGCGGCGAAGGCACTCACCACGGCGTCCTGCACGTCACGCGGCAGACGCTCGTAGTAGCTCACAGCACTGCACACACATCACATTATCAACACACACAAGCACACATATCCCCTCTCCCTCTCCCTCGCTCTGGTGCACTGCACACTGACTGACTGACCGGGCTCGTTTGTTTCGGTCCTCTTTGGCGGCCGTGTTGGCTTTGTTTCGGATGAAGGCGAGTATCTGTGTCTGCCGGGCGAGCCGCTGCGCGTCGATGTCGGCCATGAGCGTGTCGATGGTGTCTGTGTCGGTGAGGAAGTCCAGCGAGGTGATCATCGTAAAGAGCCCCACTGCACTCGCCAGCACCGCCGCAGTCAGGCCCACCGGCAGGAATGTCAGCGGGTAGGCCCACAGCCCGTTGGACCACCACAGGCCACGGCTGCCGTGGGACGTGCTGATGACGGCCTTGAGCAGCAGAGCCGTGTAGGCTGCCAGCAGGAAGAGCGTCAGCTGCACCAAGAAGGTCGTGGCCTTGACGGAGGCCACAGGCAAGACGGCCGCCGTCCGGTTGACCTTGCCGCACAGCCAGTGGGAAATGACCGGACGCTCCTCGTCGAGCCGAGACACAAACACTGCATCCAACACACCACACAGAGAGAGAGATAATATGGCTGTGTGAGCATCATCCCTCTCTCTCTCTCTATGTGTGTGTGTGTCCTTACCGGTCTGGTCGGGCTCGGCGACGTCCGAAGTGATCCAGTTCTTGAGACGCGTCTTGTCGGGGCGGTGGTAATACTAACCCAGACAGACAGACAGACAGATGGAGGAGACAGCGGAGAGAGGGGTCATGTGTTGTCCTGTGTTGAGTGTCGTGTGTGCTCATTGTTACGTCGAAGGTGCGGTAGAATGAGAGGTGGAGGGCCGAGGCGGCCGCCAGCAGCGCAAAGGCCAACACCACCATCAGTGTCACCGACGGAACACCAGACAACTCCTGCACACACACATCCGTCCATCCGTCCATGTGACGTCAAGTCATGCTGTGTGTGTCGACTTGTGTTGCTGACGAGGAGGGGTCGGGCGGTGATGGCGATAGCGATGACTGTGATGAGCATCGATGTCGGCAGCTCGATGAACTCGACCACGGTGTGGCCCACACGAGCTGCACACACACACATCCATCCATCCAGCCAGCCCCCCCCCGTCAATGTGTGTGTCCTTTGCCTCGGAGGTATTGTGAGAATGTGATTTCCTTCTCGTCCGGCGTCTTGACGAAGATGTTGGTGTGTCTGCCGTGGAAGCGTTCGCGGAGGCCGAAGAAGCTGAGGGCGTTGTCGATCTCGGCCTCCGGTGTGCCGAAGGTGAGTGTTTTGCGGATGAGTGAGAGGAGATTCTCGGAGCCGCTCGGCAGTGCCTGGATCTGCTGGGAGAGGTCGTTGCGGGTGAGGCCAGAGAGGAAGTCCCAGTGGCGGCACGTCAGGTGGCCGACGACCAACAGGATGGCCGTGTTGAGAATGAAGAGCGCCATCACGATGAAAATCAGAATGTGCACATCCTCAAACAGCTCCGTCAAGGGCGTGGGCGGCGGGGCGCCTGACGAGGACAGACAACACACAGCAGGTGTGTATAGCTATGCGGTGGGTGGACTGACCCACCACACTGACCTGGGTGCACTTGGAGGGCGACCTTCTCCGTCTCGCTCATTCCCAGGTACCGGTCGTTGAACGCACGAACCACGCCGGTCCGAACTGACAGACACCGACACACGCGATGAATGACCGTGTCGCTGGGCACCCTCTGTGTGTGTGCCGGTGGCCTACCGGCGATGAAGAGTGTGAGTGCGATGAAGCCGAGGATGGTCAGTTCCTTGAAGAGCGAGTTGAATACCTCTAGCAGGTGGCGGCTCTTGTGCGATGCCAGCCAGTGAGTCGCCTGGTGGTGCGCGTACTCGAACAGCAGCGACAGCACAATCACCAACGAGAACAGAGTCACCTGGCAAACACACGCACACACACACACAGAGTGAATGACTGACTGCTCCTGTCCGTCTGCCTGTCTGTCTGTCTGTCTGCCTGTGTGTCTGTGTGTCTCTCAGTCTGACCAGCGTCCAATTCTCGATGTCTCCGCGCCCATGCGGCCCCGCCCGTCGCAGAAGGGTGGCTCCGTGTACCACAGTGGCGAGCAAAGCCAGCTTCGTCAGGAGCGAGACAGACATCACCTCAGACCGGCAGCAGCTGCCTGCCTGTCTCTTCGGCAGACAAGCAATCAGACAGCGAAAAGCGTTTGTTTGTCTGTCTGATTGAGCGTGTGTGAACGTGTACGTACGTATATCTGTGTATGTGTGTGCGTGTGTGATCGAGATTGTGTCAATTGAGTCTGTGTGGATGCTTCACACTGATCATATTTTCATCATGCACACGGACAGCATGAATGGAATGACGCATGGCATCCATCGTCCACCACCAGATTCACCGCAACCGGCTCATTGCTAGGCAATCGACTCGCAATCAGCCTCGTCTCGCCCCGCTCCGTGGACCACTCGAACATGATCCACGGCGAAAGGAAAGAGGACGCCGATGAAGTCGACCACACAGCGGAGAGCTCACACGATCGATCAGCCACCAGTCATCGATATCGTCGTATTGCATTGCCCCTCCTCCCTCCCTGACTGACTGACTTGATGGATGAATTAGTGCGTGCAGAGTGCAACGCAACGCTGATGACTGACAAAGAGGCACAAGGAGGGGGAAGGATTACAGCAGACAGACCGTTTTTACGTACGATGCGACCGTGAAGCCAGCAAGCCATCGCCTCACTCGGATGTCTGTCGGCTGTCTGTCAGGTTAGTCCTTTATAGCTTTATAGCTATACATCTCTCTCTCTCTCTGCAGTTGGTGTGTCGGTCTGTCTGCACATGAAACGAATGATCTCTCTCTGTATCTCTCTGCAGCCAGTTGGTGTGTGTGTCAGGTATCAGGTCGCCGGGCAATCTATACATGGGAGGCCATGTGTGTGTCGGTGCAGATGGATGGATGGATGTGTTAGATGGATTGAATGTCATAAAGGGGAAAGCGCACGCACGTACGCACGATTGCATGCCGTGCTGAGCCATCGCACAGCATTTGCATGAGTCAGTCAGTCAGCCAGCCGGTCAGCCAGTCAATCAGCCAGCCAGTCAGTCAGCCAAATCTACCTGTCCAGTCAATGTGTACACACACACACACAAAGACGACACGCAATGTACCTTCCCGTATCTTCCTCTCCAATGCCCCTCCCTCCTTCCTCCCTCCCCCCCACACACAGTGTCCACACACAAGTCACAACGGAAAAAAATCGGCAACCGTCACTCACAAGGCGTCGAATGGATGGAGCAATGATTGCAATGCGACAGCCAGCAAGACAGATACACAGATATATCCCGTCAGCCCCGCCCGCCCTCTCCCATTGACACCGACCGTACCACACACACGGATGCCACGACAGACACCTAGCTACCCACCTCGCCCCTCTCGAATCGACTCACTCACCGAATGACCCCCGCTGTGTGCGAAAGGTATGCAGACATCCATGTGTGTGTGTCGGTCGTGTATGTGTGTGACCAAAACAAGACGCCTCCATCTACAACTGACTGACGCACCCCCTCCCCTCCCACCGTGCCTCCCTGCTCGCATGGCATGGATGTATCTGACCGTGTGGGGCTTATCGACGATAACCAAAGAGTCTCGACTGATAGCTGCGCTCAACCGGGCTCTGATTGCGGTTCTGACACGACACACACACACAAAGGGCAAATGACCAGCTGTCTGGCCGCCCGTCCAGTCCATTGATCTCTGTTGTTGCCTGCTTACCCGGCTGGAAGATGTGGAGCCCATGGACGACAGCGATGCATAGGGATTGTTGGTCAATCGTGTGGGGTTGACGCTGTTGCCTCTCGACGCCCGACCCCCGGTGAACGTCGACAAGCTGCTCGCAAAGTTGTTGATGGCCGACGACCGTGTTGAGGAGCCGAAGGCGCCCGCACCCGCAATGCTGCCCGGCCCGGTGCTGTGTCTGCGGATGCCGTCTGTGCTGGTGGTGGCCTGACGGGCCGCAGGGGAAACCACACCGCCTCTGGAGCGCTGGGCGGCCTGGAGGGTGGACTCCTCCCGCTGCTGCTGTGCTCGCGAGGCGAGGGACGGGGATGCCGGCATGAGGGCGGGAGGGTGGCCGACAGTGGGGATGCTGCTGCCGTGCGAGTCGGTGCCGTAGATGTCCCGCCCGCCGCTGCTGCGCTGGTGGGGATATGCGTCGAAGTACGAAGCAGCAGCAGCAGCAGCAGCAGAGCTGGACAGGGAGGGCTGGTTGTGGGAGAGCCGGTACGCTGCCGTGTGGCTGGTGCCGATGCTGAGGCCCTCGTCACGCTCGTAGCTGGGCTGGGAGTCGAGCGGCCTCGACGAATGGCGATAGGGGTCCTTCACGCCAATGCCCGACCACCGACGCGGCATGAGCGACGCGATGGCGTCATCATCGCGCTGCTCGCGGTCGCGGTCGCGGCTGCTGCGCCGCTCTATCAGCCGCTCACACTCGCTGGTGGTCATCCCAGCTGCCCGCGCCTCACCACCCCCACTCCCACTCCCTCTGCGCGAGTTGCTGAGGCTGCCGCCACGCACCTCACCCATCGCGAACGTCGATCCCGCCCCAGCTGTGTCAGCCGCCGTTGTCCGTGTGGGGGTGCCGATGCGGTTGCTGCGGCTTGATGACGCGCCGACAGATGGCTGGGTGGTGGTGGCCGAGGCGTAAGAGGCCCTGACAGCCTCGTCAAGACGAAGCGACTGCTGGAAGTGTCGATCCCGAGAGAGAGAGGGTGCGAGGGGCTGGGGCTCGAGGGGGTCGGATAAGATACTGCGGCTCGCGCTGCCACCAGTGGGTGACGCCGCCGCCGCCGCCGCCCCATGCACACCCACCGTCATCCCCCGATGCCCGAGGTCGCGCATTATGTTTCTCCCCAGGGGACCGTCCTCGTAGTCCCTCTCATAGCCAGAGTCCAGTGACCCCTGGCTCGCCCGCGAGCCATAGCCGTACCGCGCGCGCTGCCCTGCAGCTAGCGGGATGGACGGCAGTGACGACGACAGAGGGGCTGAGGGGCGACGATCAGACGCGGCGGCCGGGGCGGGCCTCTCGGCCGTCTCCTCCCGCTCGGTGGTTGTGGTGGTGATGGCACTGGGGGCCTTGGCGTGCACTGGCGGTGGCGAGAGGGGAGCGGCCGGAGGGGTGTGAGCAGCCGGGGCGGGCGGGGGCACCGTGGACGGCTTGGAGGGCCGGACGGTGGGCGCAGGGAGGTGGGAGGTGTCGGCAGCCGCCGCCGGTGCGGCGATGTCGGTGCTGTCGTCGAGCGGGGAGGTGATGTCCTCGGTGTCCTTGTCGAGCACACTCGAGGGGTTGTCGCGCGAGGACGACCGACTCGACGGCACCACCGGGTTGTCGATGGAACGGGGCAGCGGCACTGCACACAGCACACACCAAGCAGACACACATGAATGAGTGCGTGTGAGCGTGTCTCTGTGTGTGTGTGGGTGGGTGGGTGGGTGGTCGACATCATCGGCGCGTACCTTCAACACGGACCTTCCGCTTCTCCTGGAACACCTTTGGCATGTCGCGGGCCTGGTACCACAGGATGTAGGCCGCAGAACCTGACACACACACACACACACACACACATGGGCGAGTCTCTCTTGTTGTGGGACGTCCCCTCCCCTCCCCTCCTCCCTGCTCTAGATACGCACCCTGAAGTTGCTCCTCGGGCATGAAGTACTCGGTGGCGATGTCGTCAAACCGCACCCACGAGACCACACCATTCACCACCAACTTGGCGTAGCTGCACACGCAAGACACAGACACACACACGCAGACACGCATTTCCCTCCTGCAGTCACGCCCTGTCTGTGTGTATGTCTGTCTGTCTGTCTGTCGGGTGCTCACGCGTAGTAGTGGCCGCCATGGAGGATGCCGTCGTGATGGGTGACGGCGAACAGATCGTACTCGCGGCTGATCGTGGGATCCTCTGAACACGCGACACACACACACACACACACACAGGCATGAGCACAGCCATCCTCCCCCCCTCTCCCATATCTCTCCTTACCAGAGTGTTCGCAGAGGCCATGAACCTCGGCGAGACAGAGCTTGCGCATCTTGAAGCGCACCGGAGTGTTGAGACGCTTGGCGTTGAAGATGCCCTCCGTGCCGCCGAACTTGTCCTTGCGGAAGCGGTTGAGCGTCACGACCAGCACCGGCGGGCACCTGAAGATCGTCACCTGGCGGCTGACACGACATACCCACACACGCAGCCAGCCAGACAGACAGGTCAACATAACACGAGCACGGAGACATCCTCTCCCTCCCATCCTACCTGGCCTCAACGTGTTCCTTGCACTTGGGACAGTACCAGACGTCATCGCCCCTCAGCACCTGATCGACGTCATACCACATACGGAGACAGAGTGAGGGAGGGGGCGTGTGTGCAGTGCAGTGTGCTGTATGGCGCCGACCGGACTCACCTCGATCTTGCAGAACGTCTTGAGGCACTCGTCGAGCTCGACCTCGGCCGTCTCGTCGTCAGGAATCGTCAGGGGCAGAGACCAATTCGTCTCGAAGTTGCGCGCAACTGCACACATCACACATCACATGACACCCAATCACAGCACTACATCAAAGGACGTCTGTGGAGTGGTGCTGTGGGTGTGGGGTGTGGGGTGTGTGTTGTGTGCTCACTGTGGCCGCATTTCGGGCAGATGATCTCCGTCATGAGCTGTCCGCCAAACACGTCGGAGACGATGGAGTCGCTCCGCTGGTGGTCGTACGTCCACCAACGGTCGCTGGTCACACACACAGACAGAAAGAGGGGGCAATGGATGCGTGTGTGGGTGTGGCCCAGCCCCTCGCCCGCCCGCCGGCCTACCTGGCCTCTGTGGGCGTCTCGCCCGGTCGGTCGTCCATCTCCTGGAATGGCGGCTTCTCCTGGATCCTGTTGGTGTCCTGCACACATGCCATGCACCCGACACACATACACAGGCCAGTGATGGCATGCGTGTGTTGGGGGCGATCTGGTGGCTCCGTACTTCGTGAAGACACTCGAGCAGCTTGCCCAGAAACTCTGCCGAGTCCTGCTGACGGCGACCTGGCCCACAGACACACGCCCACACAGCACACCACACACACGTCCTGATTGATGATGCCGACCATTTGGTGGATTGTGTGTGTGTGTGTGTGGTGGTTACCTTTGAACTCCTTCTTGTTCTCTCCAAAGACGCGGCGAAAGTCGCTCGGGTCGACGACGCCCCCCTGCTGCTCCGACGCGCCGTCAGACGAGAACTCTCGCATCAAGGTCGCAAACACCTGCACTCATTGATAGGGACACACACACACACACAACGCAGATCACAAGTGTATATGTGTGGTTTGGTGTGTCTGTGTGTGGTGTAGGTAGCTCGCTCATTCACTCACCGAGGCTACGTGTCCTCTGTAGGGGCTGCGAGGACAGATGAACGTCTGCCAATGGGCATCGTCCGAATCATCAAACGCTACTGTGAACCTGCACACCGAACAGACACACACACACACACCGAGAGAGAGAGCGAGAGAGAGAGAGATGTCTGCTTGGTTGGTTCATTGGGTGGGTGCGGTGCCGGCTGGCAGCTGACCAGTCCCAGAACCATGGAGTCCGAACCAATGGCTGCACAACCGCATTCCTGCACACAACAACAAAACAAGCAGGGACAGACAGACAGACATGTGTGTTTTGGTCTTCGACTTGTTGATGCATGGGTTGTGGCTTGCTTACTGATAGCAAGTGTTCCCCAGATTGTACAGCCCATACGCAGCCGGCGGATATCCCCCAACTGCATCAACAGACAAACATCACATACACACACACAGACACAGACGTCCATCCATCCATCCATGCATCCCTCCCACCCTCCCCTCCCTCCCTCCCTCCCTCCCTCCCCTGTTATGTGTTCCGCGGCTTACTCCTGAAGAAGCCCGACTCCATGACCTTGTCCTTCCGATGCACTCCCGTGTGTTCGCTACGCTCCCGCACCGCAGACCCCACACCGTCACGCGTCTGCTGCCGGGACTCGCGGGAATGCGATGGCCGCTGGGAATCACCAGAGCTGCTCTGACGCGACGACGCCTCGCGACTCTGCCGAGTCACGAATCTCGGCGCAGCTGCAGCGAACTCTGCCTGGTGATGCTGCAGATAGATAACACACACGAAACACACACATACATCATGAGAGAGCTCATTGCTGCCTGTGTGGGTGCGGTGCGTCGTATTCTCACCGCATAGCGGGGCAGTGGAGCTGGAGCCTGGGAGGAAGCTCGGTATCGGGCCTGGCTGGCCGTCATGCTGGCGGTGAGCCTCGGCTGGTGCCTTGGGAAGGACTGAAGTGCCTCCGCCACGCCAGCCGAGCGGTTTCGGTCGTTCATGGCTCCCACTGCTGCCCGGCTGCTCCGGCCGCCCTCTACGTCCTCCCAGGGGTTGCTGAGGGGGATCAGGCTGGAAGCTAGCAGCGACGATGGGCGAACAAACGACGTGGCGACTGATGAGTCGATCCAAGGGGAAAGGGGACGTCACTCTCCCCTTTGGGCATGATGCAAGGCCTCGCGCCTCGCTCCATGGCCGCTCGCGGAATGCGAGCTTCAATGCGAGCTTTCTGGGAAAGGGGCGACAAACAGAAAGGGCGCAGAACAATGAACCCCAGTGTGCTGATCTGAGCCTCCTCTCTAGACTCCTCTTGCCTTGCACAACGAGATAACAAAGTGTTCTGTTCTGCGGATCTGCGACGAGTCTGCAGCGGTCTGGTGGGTGTCGAGTGGTGCCTTCATTGCATTTCGGTGTCTGCCATCGTCCCCTCTGCCGGGCCCAGCAGTGTTATGGAGCCGTCAGTGAGTGTGCGGTTCGCTGGCGATGGGGAGGGCGATGCGCAGCTGGTCGTCAAGGAGGGTCAGATCTCATACGGCACACCACACACGACAGAGATGACAGAAACGCGACATGTGCGGGAGGTGCGTCGTCTGCGCAGGTCATGGATGGCGAGTTTCAAGAGGGCCAGGAGCGTCAAGTGTGCATCGAGAAGATCAGCCGGTCCATCGGTAAGGTGGTGCTGCAGCAGGAGGTGGACATCGTCAAGTCGCTGACCAAGGACAAGCTCCTGGATGCGCTGATCGCTCCTGACTACCTGCAGTTCGACGTCGACCAAATCTTCACGAGCGGCAGCACTCAAAAGCCTGCTGTGGCGCATCCATCGCAAGGTGAGCAATGGGGAGGGGAGAGGTCTCGTTTACTGTTGCTGCGTCTGGTCGGCTTGTGTCAGGTTGTGGTGGAGGGCTGGCTCAGTGACCACCATTTGGCCAACACCCTCCTCGACTTTCGCCCGCTACCCATTCATCGCGCGATTCATCCACTGCCACTCCGACATTCGCGTAGCGTTCCTGCCGTGTCTGTGCAAGCGGCCTGACGTCATCCGTGGACAGTGGCGGCGACGCGCGAGAGGCGAGCTTCATTCAGGATGACGGCATCAAGGCGGCCGTGAGCCTGGTGGCCAGCCTCGGGGACGCCATCTCGTGTGATGCAATCGACGTGTCGCGTCAAGAGCTCGCCCAATTCATCACGAATGCAACGGGCTCACCCAATGCAGTGTGCGCAGGAGGCGGCCGAGCGGCATCGTCTGGAGGCCGAGAATAGGCGACTCCGCAATGAAATCGCCATGCTCAAGCAGCAGAGCAGGTCAGTTGGATGTTTGTTCAGCCATCACTCATCATTCATTCGTCCGTCCCGCTTCGTTGGTTCAGGAGCGTCGCGGGACGAAGCGGCCAAGCGATGAGATGGAGGGCCAGCAGCAGCATGAGGGGGCCGCTGACCCGGAGATGCAGTCATAGCTAATAGTGCGGGATGGGGGCTGTCTGGATATACACGTCCACCCATCTATCCATCCATCCATGCAAGCGGCTCATGTCATGTGGGGTGCCTATCGTGATCGATTGTCAGTTTTGACAGTTTGTTTTGTGGCGTGTCTTGTCTTGTCTTGCCGGTCAAGGGAGGAAGCGAGATGGCCCTGTAAGTACATATGTTCTGTGTGCCTATATCGGCGTGATCGACTGCAATAAATCGATGCAATCGATGAGAATGTCACACTCTCTCACACATCCGTAGGCATTTCACTCAACCCGCAGCCATCTGCACAAACACTTAATTAGTTGGCACTCACCCACATACCATGGAGACATACAATCGAATATGGAAGCATGAGATATCTATGAGATGTCTGTCTGTGTGTTTTCAAGGAGAATGAAGAGAAGAGAAGACAGCCTCTCATGTCTGGCAGTGAGAGCCAAACATGAATGGGGGCGCGTGTGTGAGCGGATGGATGGGCGTCAATGAGAGAGAGAGACACACCAAAAACGCCACCGACCGACTGAGGAATCCCGCCTGCCACGACTAAGACCGGTCTCGGTAACAGACTAAAAACATCGCGGCCGCAACACAGACAGAAACAACACGGGTCACTTATCAACAATTAAGTAATCAGCAACTAAGGGTCATTAGCGAAAAACGAAGCTATGATTCAAACCGCCATGGCCGTCGATCGACCGCCCACCCCCTAGCAGCCCCGAAGGAGACAGTGGTTGAGTCAGCACACCATCTGGCCATACCAACCAGACACACATCGACCAACCTGACACACACATGGAAGCGCACAGACAGCATTGCGTACGTCGTGTGCTCATCATCTGCTCGTGTCTGTCGTGTTTGATGCAAACACACCTCAGCTGTCTATCGGTCAAACAGGATGGCTGAGATGATGGCCCCCAACACCACACGCGCCAGCCGAGTGGTCTGAGGGAAGCGGTCCTTGAAGGCATCACCCACACCAGACACAGCCGGCTCGGTCGTGCAGACCCATGCATGCACTGCAAAGAATGACAAGAGAGCACAGCAGTTGAGAATGAGCGCTTTGTGTCTGTGCGCATGGGCTGTGCCGTGCTGGGCTGACCGAAGTTGTGGAAGGAGGCTTCCATGATGTAGATCCATGCGACAAACGGGTGGCCGGCGTCGGTCAGGATGAGACGACGACGACGAAAGCCGTCAGTGCAGCGGTATGATGCAGTGGTGGTGCATCCCTCCACTGGTGTGTGGGGGGACTGTATCACGATGGTGTCCAACCGGTTGTTGTCGACATTCCTGACAGACACACACATAACATACACACTCGTCTGTCGTGGCAAAGTACACACAGAGTGATGCCCCGCCTCACCTGTCGATAGTACGCCTAGTGAAGTTGATCTGGTGAGTCCCCCTGAAGTGGTCGATGACGATGCTCTTGACATACGACGACACAGATGAGTAGTCCCGAGGCCTGGACAAACTCATGTGCCAGCCCAAGGCCAGGACAAATGTGATCCTGTTGCGGACGGGCGGGTCGTGCTGCTGTCGGTGCTGCTGGTAGGGGTGGTTGGGAGGAAGGGGCGGGTCGATGGTCAGTTCGAAGCCCTCTTGGTCCTTGATGGCCCGCAGTGTGTTGCCGTGGTGGAACAGCTGGAAGGTCACGCCGTTGCCGAAGTCGATGTGGGGGCCGACCATCTTGAGATGAGCCAACACACGGGGATCGGCCAAATACGCCTGCACACACACCCCAGACACACCCATTGAGAGCCATTGTCTCTGCCTCCCTCCCTCCCTCCCTCGGTTGGCGTACCGTCTTGTTTGGGTATCGGTGCAGATCGGTCGCCGTGAGCCTCACAGGCAGCTGGCAGCGGCCGCACTGCCCCGCCAGCTCGACCGCCTCGCTCATCTCTCTCCAGCCGCCCTCCTCCGTCACACACAGCGCCGCCAGCAGGTCACTCACGCCCATCTGCTGCTCGTCGAATGTCAGGAGCTGCTGTCCGCTGGCCGTCCGCCGCAGCCCCGCCTGTGTGCAGAGCGAATGGCTGAGTCGCTGCCGCAGCTGAAGCGCTCTGAAGAGCTCTCGGAGCCATCTGCAGATCTTCCTCAGCCTCAAGATGTCATTGAGGCTGAGAAGGTAGAAGGTGCGGCGGCCGACAAAGATGTACACGAAGGGATGCTGTTCCTGATTCTGGTCGGGCTGCTCCTGCTGCTGGTCGGCCTGCTGCTGGTCGGCCTGCTGGTGGTTGTGCTGCATCGCCGTCAGATCTGCCGAAAGGGGCAAAGCAGATGGGTGAGAGAGAGTGAAGAGGGCGGGGAAGGCGAACACAACGACAGAGCCAGACACTAAAAAAGTACGAAATAGTGAGATACAGTCAGTTGCGCGGAAGAGAGCACACTGCCAAGAGTGAATTTCACCGAACCACACAGGGACGTCGTGGAGAGTCTGCAGGAGCTGCGCCGGCGTCTTCAGGCTTGGTATGACGCGAACGCCCCACTGCAAAACACCCCCAAGGCCTCACCAGTGTGAGTGGCTCTCATGATGCAGACTGCCCGCGGACTCATCTGAGCTGTGCTTGAGGGGCTGTGTCGTCTCTCTATGAGTGGTTTGGGGAGCCATCTGTCGCTGTGTGGTTCGCCGTCGCCCGCCAGTTCACAGCACATCGAGCAGGTCCGGGACAGCGCCAGACAGACCAGACATGCACATCAGCCCTGCCTCAGTACTTGTGGGTGGATGCATGTAGGAATTCTTCATGTGTGAGGTCGTGGCAGCGCACGTACAGTTTCTTGTTTCTTGTCTGTGGGCTGTCTGCCTGTATGGGTGTGTGCTGATTCATAGGCATTTGGGCCTGACAGGGAACGCCATGATCACTGTTGGGCCGGGTTGGTGGCGACCACTTTCTCTGTGTGTGTGTGTGTGTCCTGCCACATTAGCAGCACCAACGTTCAACACGTCAGTCTACACCGTCACGCTCTTCGACGCACTCACAATTGCGGGCCTCCTCGATGGTCTTTGCCCTCTCCCCCACCGTCACTCGACCACCGCCCACGGACACGTGAGGGTCTCGACGGATGGGCGTATTGCTACCGCTGGTGGGTCGGTCGGTCGAGAGAGGGAAGGGGACGGGGTGTGACGGTAGAGTAAGACAGCACGATGAGTCATCGAGAGAGAGGCGAGCGCGGCACAAAAAATGTCTGCACCACACGCATCACACTGATGGTCGGTCGTTGGCAAACGAGGAGCCAAAAAAGTCCCCATCCCTTGGCCTGACGCGCTCATTTTCTCTCTCTGCCAACGATCATTCACACGTCAGCATCAATCAGCCCTCATCCGTCAATTCTGCACAGCTACCTAGTCACTCGTCCACACACACACACACGGCCCTCAGCTATGCTATGCAGCACACAAGTGTCGTCAGCTGAGAAGGGCCCCACTGCCTCTCCGCTATGAATGACCCACCACACACAGCAGCCGGCCTGACAGACACCACCACACACACACAGAGGTCAGACACGAAGACGGTCCCAACATCAGCCCTTCTTGTGAATGAGTGCCATTCCCTCACCTCAGGCATTGCGCCGGGCAGTTATTGTCACTCGGGTGCCCCCATTTCTGATGCTTTCGACGCTGAAGCCCTCGATGTTGGTGCCGACAGGGAGGGAGTTCTCGATGGAAGCATGCTGCTCAGCTGTCGTCGTGCCGACGTACAGCTCCACAAGCCGCAGGCCCCTGATGTGCCGGATCACCGACGAGAGGCGGGTGCGGACGAAGCTGCCGGCGTCCTCCACACCATCGGGCACTGAAGGAGAGGGAACACACAAGGCAGCAATGAGGACGGACGGGCACACTACCCTACTTCTCTCGGCGTACGTGTCAGCTCGAAGTCTAGTTCCTTGATCGTCGGCAATTCGTTGGCCGCCCCCACCAGCTGGTCGACGTCTACCTGCCTCATGTGCACCGTAGCCCCCACCTCTCTGTCCCTCCCCAGAGCCGTCAGCAATCCCAACTTCTCCCCATCTGACAGACTGTCGATCCACAGCCAGTCCACCATCTTTGGCATCTTGGTGGCGAATAGCCGGGCGGCAGCACAACCAAGGTCGCTCCGGACAGACAGCTCTGTGTCGACATCTGGTTGAGTGGGCTGCGGGAACGGCTGTAGATGGGTGATGATGGAGGGGCTGGACGATGGCGTGCCCGGGAAAGCGAAGTCGCCGACCTCCACCGCCGCGAACGTGCGGAAAACCAGGCTGGATGCGATGTCGATGGCCGCTGGGCTGGGGTTGTCGAGGTTGTCGAGGTTGTCCTGAGTGAAGATGTACTTCACCGTCATGGCCTCCTGCGCCAGCTGCTGCATCATGGTCTTGAATGAGGGTGGGGGATGGGTGGGGAAGGTGTCGTGGTAGAAGATGGAAATGTCGAACCCGAAACGGCCGTAACTGATTACGTGAACCAGTTCAAGGTGGGCGTCTGGTCGGCAGCACGTGCCGACCAGGCGGTCCAGCGCCAGCAGTGTGGGCATGCTGTGGCGGTCGATGCCGAAGCCCTCATAGCACACGGAGAGCTCCTTGAGTGACCGTCGGCAGCCACGCGCAACGAGCGCTTCCTGCAAACAAGAAGACACACACATACAGGAGGGACATCATGAGCCAATCCACGGGCGCTGCCGTCCTTCCCTTTGTGGTCACCTGAAGCCGCTCGACGCCCGCCGGACAGTCATTCGAGAGATTGATGGTGCCGATTTTGTCCAGCTGTGCGAGTGGCCCTCCCTGCTGCCCAGCAGGTGCCGCAGGGATGCCCTCAAACACACCCGCCCAGTCCTCACCCTCAAGGCTGCCGTCCACACGCCGCAGGGAGCGGGACGAGCTGACGAGTCGGCCAAGCATATGTCTGTTAGCCCACCCCCACCACGTGTGCACGGTGGCGAGTGAGGGCATCAGCCAGCCACGGTCGGCCAGCTGCCGATGCTCGCCCTCCAGGCCGGCGATGGTGGTGAGTGCGTGGAGGGTCGGGGGCGGGTCGAGAGGGGCGGGGAGGGGCGGTTCGGTCCTTGTGACGCTCTGCCCAGCCGCGCCGGTCAGCCGAAGGCCTCTGTCGATGGTGATGTCTGCAGGGTCCCTCCTTGCATGTCGGCTGCCCGTCGGCCGGCAATGTGGCCCTCGATGATTGCCACAAAGACGTCGAAACACCAGCAGGTGACGCCGTTAGGGTAGCGGGGGACGCCGTCAGGGTACCGGAGAGTGATTGACGTGAGGCGGGTGAGCCGGGCGGCCAGCTGGGTGACGAAGGCGAGATGGACGTGCTGCCAAAACGACCGCTCCTCCTTGGTCGCTGAGGTGATGGTGACGTCTGAGAGGTGGGGTGCGGAGTTCTGCCAGATGGACTTGGCCAGCTGCACCATCAGGTTGATGGGCAGGAAGGCCATCATGTAGCTGAGAAGCCCCT